GTATTTATATTAGTTTGTTCCCTCTACAGGTCTTGTATCTGCTTTGGAGGTGGGGTATGTCATTTAGATGATGGTTGGGTGGGTGGAGGGTAATAGTCCATCTCCATTATTGATGCTTTGTTTAAAATAAGAGCTCCCAGACCCATGAAGGCCAGTGGAGTGAGCCACTGCTGAATCTCCTGTTTTGATGCTATGTAATGTACACCTAATCATCATCATCACCATGAGACTTCTCATGGTTTTCAGATAGAGAGTAATAATTGTTCACCCTTCCCTTATTCTGAGGGCATCCTGGGACTGTGCAACCTGTCCAAGGTTACTCAGGCTGGCTCTGTTCAGAAGAGACAGAGTGGGGAAACAAACTCCCACCCTCTGGTTCCACAGCCAGATACCTAAACCACTGAGCTATCTACCCAGTATACCCAGTAGAAGATAATTATTAATTCTGGATTGGAGCTCTGGCAATTTATATATTCAAGCAGCAGTGATCTAGCTTCTGACTGTTGGGGAGCTTGGGATGGCCGCTGATTGCCTTGCTCTGTCCCAAGGAGAACCCTTGTTAATAAATGCTGCGTTGACATTCCTAACACCACCACTACCACCATGACCACAGATGAGTTCCCTCAATGTGTCTAAAAGAGGTTGCTTGTGTTCTTCCTTCCTCTGCCAATTCCTAATAGAAGCTTCTCCATTTCCACAGAGGTTACGGGCTGTCCCATAAAAAAGGAGAAGAGACAGACTTGGCCTCTGAAGTACATGCACACTTCATGGAAACAGAAGTTGAGCAATTTCTCTGATGAACTGACCAGGTTTCCTCTTTCTGCTCCATCAGGCTTGCTGTTTTTGGGTTGCTTTTATCTTCCTTGTACACAAAATAGTTTGCACGGGGAGGGGAAAAATACCATTTCCTGTAGGTTTAGCTTCAGTTCCTGCAAGTTGATAAGAGGCTGGAAAAGACTCTTTGCTTTGTTCTGGGTCTTGGGAAGCCCCCAGAGCAGCACAGGAGCTAAGAATAGGCTGGCTGGCAGTGTTTATAAAGTCGGGAGCTCTTTGTTTTGTTTTTGTTTTTAAAATGTGCTGAGCTAATAAGATTGTGTCAAGTTTGTGGCTGATCTGTATGACGATGTGTGTGGGCTGCGTTTCCCCTCCTCTTCCCTCTATCACCCAGCAAAACACATCAGTATGATGTCTAAAGCGGAAAGACAAGAGTAGTCTGGGCAGATCTCCAGTAGCTTTGGGATAGTTTAGGTGCTGTTTCTCGTGGTTTTCATTTCCCAGAGATCTTCCTTTCCTGAGCAGTGTGGCTTAAACTACTATGAGAAAGAAGAAAGTGTTGGAACCGGCTGAACACTGTAAGGTATGACGTAAATTAAGGCTGGTGTGGCTTGAACCTAGGAATCAGCTGTTCCCAAAGACGGCTGCAAGGGGTATAATTACCTTCTTACAATAAACAGAATTCTACCCTCCCTCTGAGATATTGAGCTGAAAACTCATCAAGAGTTGAAGGAACAATACCTTAAGACCAGTTACAGCCTATGAGAACACTGGGTGAAACATAGTGAGATAGCAAAGGGAGCCTTCTAATGAATGAATGCATCATAAAAGTAGTTTGTTACATATATTCAGACACTTTCAGAAAGGTGAGGAATCATGGTTGCAGCTGGTGCTGGTATCCAGCAAAGTTGGGCTGAATCTTAGACTCTGCAGGTCAATCCATCACTTGCATCCCAGGGCCAATAGAGAAAAGAGGAAAAATAGAGAAAGGAAGAGGGGGACAATTTTAGTGCGAATAATGTGGTCTTGCACGGGTGCTTTGAAGTTCCCTAGAACACAGAGGCATCAACACATTCATATTATGCTAATTCTGGCATTCTTAATTGATATGCAGGTGTAGGAGATTGGAGCCTCTTGGTGAGTTCTAAGACTTCCACTTTAATTTTGTTGAAATGGAAGTAGTAGCTTGCTCTCAAGCAATATTTCTTTAGACTTGAAGTGATGGGGGGTTGAATCTCTCTGGAACTCTATTATATCCAGTATCTACTCTAATTAATACTAATATGTCTGCCTGTGGAGGTATTTTTGCAGAACAGTGTAGCATTTAGACAGGTAGGGGGTATTTATTGACTCTTTAGGCACACATTGTTCCTATATTTATACCAGCCTTTTCCATGTTGTTGGGGAATGTTGCTCTAATCTAACACAACTGGAAGACACGAGGTTTGGAAAACTGTTTAAAACTGATGGTAATAGCTATGCTTTATTTAAGAAAAATAAAGTACGATGTTATAGTAAAAGTTGCCATGTTTCTTGCAAGCCACTTGTCAAGACTAGCTCAGATTTTATATGACTTTGACAAATATCTTGTTTGCTACATCTGTAAGAGGCAAAATTGAGAATTTCCTCAGTAACTGCACCAAAAGCAATGAGAAGTTAAAAGGGATTTCATTACACTACTTTGATTTACAAGTTAGGAATGTGTGTGTAGACAGAAGTACAACATTATGATAACCTCAGTTTATCAGGCGTAGCGTAGCAAGTTGGTCATCTGGCTACGGAGACAGAGTTGGGAATTTGATTGCTCACTTGCCCCCAGGAAGACAGCCAGCCTGTGCAGCCTTGGTCAAGCTGCAGTTTTAGGTGCCCTTAAAAGAAGGGATGGGTAAACCCCTTCTGAACATTTTATACCTTGGAAACTCTGACAAGGATTATTATTATTAGTTAAGTAAAGTAATTATCATTGTTTAGTTGTCAAGTGACCATCTCTGCTAACCACATGAATTTGATATTTTGGTACATTTATAGTGAGCATGGGTCCTCAAAGCAGGCAGAATATGAGAATCCAGAACAAGAATGGTCCCTGAAATGTTTTGGCCTATAATTCCCAAAGCCTGGCTGGGCTGGGCTGACAGGAGATCTAGACCAGAGTGTACCAGCTTGCTTTCAGTCCTAGTATAATGCTCATCATCATCTTAGAACTGCAGAGCTGGAAGAGACCCTATGGATCATGGAGTCTAGCCCCTGTCAAGTAGAGACAGTGAGGAATCAAACTCCCAACCTCTGTTACCTGAACCACTGAACTATCTAGGAATACAAAATCTTGCACCAGGAATGTCTGACAGGCTAGATGTTCCTCATCCTGATCTTGAGTAAACTCCTCCATAAAGGTCCTATTCTCTTGATAGCAAATGTGAGGTTTTCATTTTCACAAGAAATAAACATAGATCTTGATTATATTTGCTATCTTTCCACTGGTGCACAAGCCTTCAGTTGCACACTAACGGGAGCAAGAAAATGTAATAAGCATTCAGGATGAATATATGGAGGAGGTGTTGGGGTTGTGACAACTGAACACTGAAGATCAGTTGTTTATGGTTTCTGCATGTACAGAGAAATTTTTATTGTGTGCCCTGGCCCTTTAACTCTCAATTTCATCTGTGTAAGAACTATGTGGCAATACTAGGCAGGCAGGGTTGTTGCTTTTGTTTGAACTTGATAACCTGTGTAACAGTCAGCCACTGTTTGTGATTCCAGCATCATTGCAGAACTGGTTTCAGAATTGGAGTCTGTAGGCCAAAACTGGGGCACACAGATTATTTAGATTCTCTCTTTTCCTCTTCCCTTTTAGGTATATGTGGCAAGCTATCTTTGGCCCAGGAACCCAATTGCAAACTGTTTTTGTCCTAGGTACCAAATTCCAATTTTGCTAGAGTTCCAGGGCTCATACTCTATCCGAATATGAGGTGGAAATCATGGGGAAAGGGTCAAGAACCAAACGGGCAGGGCCAAAGCAAAAGAGCCAGGACCATTTGTAATTCTTAACAATGTGGATATTTCCCTGTCAAACATGCAAAGCTCAGTTCTGTGCATGCCTATGCAAGACTAAGCCCCAGTGCTACAGCATTTCTGCCTGCAAAGCACAGCTCAGTTCCATACAAGGTATTATTACCCTTAGTCTTGGCCAGTGATAATAGATGCTTATGAGGAGCTCTGAACATCCATGGGTTGGACATCCCCCACCCCCATCTTATTGCTTTGTACTTGGTTTGATACAAAGCTTGACTTTGATTTTTGGTTTTCTTCTGTTATCTTGTTCCTGCTCATGTCATTTTTGACTTACTGCAATCCTAATCAAATTTTTTAGTAATGCAATATGTCAAGGAATGGGTCACTACTATCATATACCCCCAAGTGTGTTTCCATGGCCAAAGGAAGATTTGAATCCAGCTCTCCAGGCTGCAGTCCTACATTCTCTGCAGTGCACCACACCTGGTCTGTGGAAGAAAAATAAGTCAAGACAATGATTTATAGGTTTTCTAGTAATATCAGTTTATCCCAGTGAAACCCAATAAACATTCCATAGTTTCCCTATAGGGCAACAAGCATTTTTGACATAGTATACTTCATGGTAAAAATGCTAAACTTTTTCTTCTAGGAATAAGGATCATAGACAACCAACCTGTGTCAAGATGAAATTAAAATGAATATATTGTTTAATATTTTGCAATTCTGTTGGCTTTGAACTTTTTTTCTTTTCAAAGCCATTTGGTTCTTTTGTATTATCACAGTAAAATGTGCTATTATGACATATTTATGAATGGATGAAAAGGAAAATATGTGACGTACTACACAGTGCTCTTGTTTATATAAGTTACAGGTATCCTATTTGTAAGATTATTCCTTTCCTTATGAGATTTTCAAAAAGGCATCTGTATTAAAAGTTTGGTAACACACTTTTATAAACTCTTTGCAGCTGAAAGTCACAGGCTTGATCACTTACACATCTAGCTTGATAATAACCACCTTAAACTACTCCTAGTCTCTTCTCTCTTTCCTCTTTTTAAACTTATGTTTTCAGTACTTCATAGCAATTTATTCATCTTATGCAATCCTTGTTTCTCTATCATTGCAAAATTTGACCCAGGAAAGAGAACATATATCAAAGCACTGACTCCTGTGTTTCCATGCTCTTTCTTCTCCCCTTCCCTCCCCCATCCCCACAGTTGGACAAAGGGGATGTGAGCCAACTCAGCCTGCCTTCAAATACAAGCCATGGCGATGCTGATGGCAACATATGCCTTGATGTTCCAGATGGCAATCCAGACCCACAGAGGACTAAGGCTGCCATTGACCACCTGCACCAGAAGATCCTTAAGATTACAGAGCAGATCAAGATTGAGCAGGAAGCCCGAGATGACAATGTGGCTGAGTACCTGAAACTAGCTAACAATGCTGATAAGCAACAGGCTTCTCGTATCAAACAGGTCTTTGAGAAGAAGAACCAGAAGTCGGCACAGACCATTGCCCAGTTGCATAAGAAACTTGAGCATTATCACAGGAAGCTCAAGGAGATTGAACAAAATGGGCCCTCACGCCAGCCCAAAGATGTATTCCGGGACATGCACCAGGGCCTCAAGGATGTTGGGGCCAATGTCCGTTCTAGCATCAGTGGCTTTGGAGGTGGTGTGGTGGAAGGTGTCAAAGGCGGACTGTCAGGCCTTTCTCAAGCCACACACACAGCTGTGGTGTCCAAGCCCCGTGAGTTTGCCAGCTTGATCCGCAACAAATTTGGTAGTGCTGACAACATTGCCCACCTAAAGGACACTCTGGATGATGGGCACCCTGAAGAGGCTTCACGAACTCTGAGTGGCAGTGCCACTCTGGTGTCAAGCCCCAAGTATGGCAGTGATGATGAATGCTCCAGCGCCACCTCTGGCTCAGCAGCAGGCAGCAACTCTGGCGCAGGCCCTGGTGGCTTGGGCAGTCCCAAGTCTAACACCTTGGACAGTCACCACTATAATTTTGAGACCATCATAGAAGAACTGCGAGATATAAAGGACATTCAGTCACACCTCGAAGACTCCATGGAAGACCTCAAGGCTCAGCTGCAACGAGATTATACTTACATGACTCAGTGCTTGCAGGAGGAGCGTTACAGGTAAGGTTTGCTAAATGAATTTCTGTTTCTCCCAGACACAGAACAGATCTTTTACTTGCCTTCTCTGGGTGAGATTAGACATTAAGAGGGATGCATATTCCCTATGATTAACATGATTTTTTTCTCCACTGCTGCCTGTCTCAGCCATAAGACTTCCAGCCACAAACCAAAGCACTCTAATTGTAATGTAGGTATGTAAGGGAAAGCAGGTGTTTATGAAAAAACAGACCTTTCATCATCTGGAATCAGTGCTTGCGGACCCAGGCAAGACAACCCTGCACTTCCACTCCAGCCCATCAGTAACACACACCACATGTAGTTAATTACAGAAAATTACAATTGGACCGAAAATTATAAGTAGATTAAAAAAGGTCACAGCTTGGATTTCTTAAGTGGAACAGTATTGGCAGAGCATAAGAAGCAGATCTCAGCACTGGGTGACCTGCTTTCCAACTCATGCACCCCTCCCAGCCCCTGCTATGCAACCAAGAATAGTTGAACCAATGTGGGTATAAATACACCTACCCCACCCCGGGCACAAGTCCACTAGAAGGCAACTCACTGGCACCTGTTCTGGGAGATTGGTGGCCTTCCTAAGCCAAACATACCCTTCCTTGAGATTGCTGGAGTGGATTTCTTGTCTGGGTTAGGGTCTTACCAGTGATCCAACCCTATGTACAAAATCACCATCCCACTGCAACCAGTGATGCAGTGACAGATTAAAAAATGATACAACATAAAATTGCACCCCCCCAACACAAGTCATAATGACTGCTCATGAAAAAATAGAGAGGGTGGGTGGGTGAGGATCAACAGTAGACTGCTGGAACTTTGATTGGAACTGCCATTTGTACTTTCCTGACCAACCAGAGTGGAAACTTCCTCCTTCTGGTCTACCAGGAAAGACTTTGCTCCTTCCATCCCAGCCAGCCTGTTCTGGCTTGGGATGGAAGGCTTCTTGTTCCCTCGACACCACCTCCTCCATGCACAAGGCAAACTGGGAAGAAAACAACACCATGATGCCAGTGGAAGATGGCAGCAGACTCCCGAACTTTGAGAGTTACCAGGCTGGAATGCAGGCCCTCAATCCAATCTGACTGGGGTGACCTGTGCTTCTAAATACATACTAAATGTGTACTTTAGCCTGACTCTTTATTCGTAGTTCTTGGCTTCAATAGATACTAGTAAAGAGATGAATTAGACTTTACATTCTTGTAAGGAGCAAGGGGAGAAAAGGGCTGGGCAGTGGAAGAGAAATGATGATGTAAACTATGTTGCCCTTGGCATGGCAAGAAAAAAAATACACCTCAGGCCCTAAGTTCAGCAATAGCCATTTGCAGCTGTATCTTAGCCAGATACTGTACAAAGATATAAAGAACAGTCAAACAGAAAGCAACACTCCCGACTCATTGACTAGTAGTGTGAAATTTATGGGTATTTAGGTTGCATATACAGTGGGGTCTTGACTTGAGAACTTAATCCGTATTGGAAGGTGGTTCTCAAGTCAAAAAGTCTGTAAGTCAAGTCTCCATTGAGCTACAGTGCATTGAAAACCGATTAATCCCGTAACAGGCCGTTTTTGTTCCATTTTGGGTTTTTTCTGGTCTGTAAGTCAAATCTCAGTCTGCAAGTCAAACCTAAATTTTGCGGCCAGAGAAGTCTGTAAGTCAAAAAGTCTGTAAGTCAAGGGTCCACTGTATGCATTTTTCCTGAGAGGAAACCAAACTAAGCTGAATATCATCATCATTATTGAACTTCAGAGCTTGAAGGGGCCCTATGGATCATTGAGTCAACCCTAACTCTAACCCTAAACTACTGAGTTATTTTTTTTTAAAAGCCTGCTGCTTATATACCGCCCCA